AAAGAATTATCTATGTGAGATCAAATTGACAACAGCAACTCAAAAGGTTTGATGGGAAGCCTAGGGGGCAGTGAGTTGAAGACAATGGTGATGGAATAATTTGGAAAAGGTTAGTGAGAATAGCAGCACAACTGGAAGAATGTAATCGATGTCACTGAATTGGACATGTAGAAACTTTTGAAATGGTGTAACTTTGGCAATGTATGTTTTCACCAAAAAAAAGGTCCTCCAAGGTTGAGAAGGGAGAGTGTTAACATGTCGTGGGATTGTTAACCAATGTCATAAACCAATATGTGTACTGACTGTTTAATGAAAAACTGCTTGTTCTGTAAACCTTCATCTAAAGTACAATAAAAAAAAATAAAGAGAAATGAGATTGGCCCTTGAAGCTCCCAAGTCTAGTGGGAGAGAAGGAGAGTTAAACTGCGATTATAATAGAATGGTAAGCGCTACATAAGAGATATCTGGAAAGTATTACAGTCTGTGGAAGAGGGACTGATTCATTCTGTGGGAGTAAAGTGAATATATGTTTGAGGAAGACTTCATCAGAGGAAGTAGAATTTGAGCTGAGCCTCAAAGGAGGAATAGAAATTTACACCCAACAGGAGGGAGGGGGTCATTTTGGCCTGTGTTTTGGGAATGGTGAACAGCTTGCTGTGTCAACAGATGAGACTGGGGGCACGTTGTAAAGACTATCATATATAGCATGACCCTTCATCCCAGTTCTCCCAGGACAGCCCCAGTTTATGACTGTTGTCCTGGAATCCTGTCTAGTTAGTGCCTCCTTTTACTCCCTAAAGTGTTCTGATTTGTATGATAAATTATAAGGCTGCTTTACTTATGTAAATAAGCAAAGGTGTTTTGATGTTTTCCTGTGAGCAATGGGAAACTATCCAAGGCTTCTGACTTAAAAAAGTAAGTGATTTCACTTGTATCTTAAAAACTCTGGTGGCAGCATGTCAAGGTGGAATAGAGGAAAAAACAGAGGCAGGCAGGTCAGTTAGGAGTTTAATTCAATTGTCTAGGCAAGGGCTTTAGTATTTACTGTGTTTTATTTTAGTTAATCCTCACAAGGATCCTAAAAGATAGCTTTTGTTACCGCAAATTTACTGATAAGAAAACGAAGAGAAGTTAAACAACACGCCCAAGGTCACACAGCTGGTAAGTGGGACTGCTGGGATTTAAACCCAGGCCTATCTGGTTCCAAAGTCAGGGTTTATTCCATCATGTAATGCTTTCCCTTGAGTGGGTAGGTAGCACTGAGACTGGAGAAGAATGGGTATTTGATGGATATTCTAGTTAAGAAGGGACAGACTTGGTGATGGTTGGGAGGAAGAGACTCTAAACTTTCTAATGGATGATGACATACTGAAAAAGAGCAGTTTTAGGGATTAGGTGAAATGATTTGGCTTTAACCATTTTATATTTTGAGTACCACTGAGTTACACAGAAGAGATATTCAGCAGATAACTGGAAATGCAAATCAAGAATCAAGGGAGAGGTCAGGGCTGTATATATGAGTTGGAAAGTATTCAGAAAGGTATAGGGAGCTGAAACCTTACAAGTAGATACAATCACATAGGAAAAAGGGATATACTAAGAAAAATGATGAGGTGGAAACCTGGGGAAGAGCTGCATTAAGTGAAAATGGAAGAAGAGAAACTTGGAAAAGAGACTAGGAAAGAGTGGCCAGAGAGAAAGGGGGTGTGTCAAATATTTCAGGGTAGCAAAGATGAAGAATAAAAAGCAGCAAGTGCATATTGTGGTTAGCCTCTAACTGCTGACCTTATCAAGAACAGTTCGGGTTAGAGGAAGAATGCAGAATGCAGTGAGGTAAAGGATAAATGCAAGGTTAGCAGTGAAAGAAGGGACAGAAAGCAGCAGAAGCTTCATGAGGAAACAGAGGCAAAAGAAGAATGCTTAAAGAAGCCTGATCATGTTTAAAGGCTGAGGAGAAAGGGCCAGTTAACGAGAGATCCATAAAGGAATAACTGATGGAACCAGGTTTTAGAAGAAGTGAAAGAGGTTGGGATTAAGAACAGAAGAACATAGGTGAAGGAGTTAGCTCTGGAATGAAGCAGAGATACTTCCTTCTGAAACAGTAGGCAAGGAGTGGTTAAGGTATAGAGAAGTATACAGAGTAAGACATTTGAAGGACGAGACCAAGCCTGATGCAGTGGATGGCTAAGCCACATAAAGAGAAATATGTAAAGGACGATGAAGGAGTAGATGGATTATACATATATATGTATATATACACGTATGTGTGTGTGTGTGTGTGTGTGTATAGATACCAAAAAAACAAACTCATTGCTGTAGAGTTGATTCTGACTCATAGTGACCCTACAGGACAGAGTAGAACTGACCCACAGGGTTTCCAAGGAGTGCCTGGTAGATTCGAACGGCCAACATTTTGGTTAGATACATAGATATGAACTAATTTAGTGTTAAATATAAAATATCAGTTTCAAATCACTAGATAAATCAATTTTCTCCCAAGTGGGATGCACAAGGCAATCCACTGAAGTGTAAGGAAAAAAAGCCTACTAATTTTTTTTTCTCATTTTTTTTTTAACGTCCTGTTTTTGTCTGTCTTATTACATACATAATGTTTGCAGAGTAGGATACATACACA